ACTGTGATGGAATTGAAACTGAAACTAATTTCTTACTGAAATGTAATTTCTTACTGAAAAGAATGTCCCCATAGCTAACCAGGCTGGATTCAGGGATGGCTACAGTACCTCAAATAATCTATTTATACTAAAATCCCTGTTTACAAAATTCTCAAGGTCAAAAAAACGGTTGTATACATATTTTATGGATTTTAGTAAGGCCTTCGGCTGTGTCTGGAGGAATAGCCTGCTTTTCAAACTGCTAAATCTAGATGTAGGTGGAAAATTCTACAATAACACAAGATCAATATATGAAAACTTCACTGCATGAGTCAAAAGTACACATGGACTGGCAAATTCTTTCCCAACATTTAGAGGAGTTAAGCAAGGTACACTGAGCCCCTTCCTTTTTAATAAATACATAGATGACATACTTAGACTTATAGATGAATCACAAAGCAAAGCCCCATCACTTGATGGGAAACCTGTTACTGGTCTTTTTTATGCTGATGATTTAGTTTTGTTTTCGGCAAGTGCCTCAGGTCTTCAGTATAGTTTAAAGTGCTTGGAAGAATACTGTGACAGATGGAGGTTATCTGTTAACTTAAAAAAGACAAAGGTTGTTATTTTTAACAGTAAAGGAAAAATGCTCGGTCACACCAGTGGCAAACGAGAGAAATTTTTATTTCCATAACCAGTTGGTACCAGTAGCAACAAGCTACCTATACCTAGGTCTCCTTTTCACAAGATCGGGCTCGCTAGCCCCAGCACAACAAAATTTACACGATAGAGCACAAAAGGCCTTCTTCAGTCTCAAACGCAATCTTCCTCTAGCTTGTACTATTCCCACCTCCTTAAAAGAAAAGCTTTATGACACACTGATTTTCCCAGTTGCAGCATATGGAGCAGAAACATGGGGTTTCACTCCATTTAGAATGTAACACCAATAGAAAAAATACATCTCCAATTTTGCAAGCAGCTTTTAGGGGTGCATTCCAAGTCCTGTAATTATGCTGTCCGGGGAGAACTTGGGCGCCTACCAAGCTACACAAAAATCCAAATACAAGTAATTAAATACTGGGTCAAAATTTTACATATAGAAGATGATGTTCTACTAAAACGAGCATACATAGATGAACTAAAACACTTTGATCTTCTGTCAAACACTAACCTTCAAACCAAAAGCCACAGTATGTCATGGAGTGAAGGAGTAAAGAAAATTCTTGTAGAAAATGGGTTTGGAGATGTATGGCTTAAACAGAAAGTAGACAAAAACTTTTAATTTTTAGTGTTAGAGTTAGAGACAGTAGTGTACAACTTTAGCATAGCAGGATATCACAAGAAAATCTCAAGTTGAGAACGTATAAAACTTTCAAGCTCCATTTTGAGAAAGAAAAATATCTTGATATAATTCAAGATAAAGAAAAATGTAAAACCCTAACCAAATTTAGAATCAGCAGCCACAACTTGCACATTGAGACAGGTCGCCATGTCAAGGGTAAACCAACACCAGCTGAAGAGAGAAAATGCCAAATCTGCCACTCTGGAGTTATAGAGGATGAAGAGCACTTTTTAATTACCTGCCCTCTGTATACAGAGTATAGAAAAGAACTCTTTCAAACAGTACAAAGCGCCCATACATGCTTCACACATTTAAACAACAAAGATAAATTCTCCTTCATAATGAACAACCCAAACAAGACAGTGATAATATCTTTGGCTATATAAATTAACCTCGCTTTTGACAAAAGAAACTGTAGTATTTCTTCCACTTTGTGATGTATAAATAATTACCATTAATATAAAGGTTTGTTTCACATAGCAGAAAACAGGCTCGTGCATTATTAATATCTAAATCTTAGTCATGTGTACAATACTTGTAGTGTGATGCTAGCGTATGATCAGTGCTGTGAGCAGTTGACTCGGCATTAAGACCGCACCTAGCTTATGATTATGAAATACTGGATATGTATGTATAATAATGGCACATTTCTATATATGTAATTTTGGTGCTATTCATCTATGTATTTTATTATTATTATCATCATTATTATTGTTGCTATTATATCTCTGTACATTTTCACCAGCTCAGTCTGGTGCAGAAAGTATGAATAAAGCATGTAAAGAGCACACATATTTTTTAACTGAAAGTTTGAAGAATCGATACAACCATCACTTGCAATAGTAGTTTTATTCTTGCTGTTTCACAGTCATAATGCCATTGTTGAATAATTCAGGATTCATATCTCATTTTTTTGGCAGCCTTTATTTCACATCATACCTACAGGTAAGACAAGTAACAGTGTACGGTGTATGGTGTATGGCGTATGGTGAAACTAAAAAAAATAATGAAAATAAAACGCAATGAATAAAAATAAAAATGATAATACTAACAATGGAGTACAATTAATGGTGAACATGAGCAAAGTAAAGGCACAATTTATGATTCTATAATGAACAAATAAATATCTAAATAATAATAACTTACTCGAATTGCAGCTACATAAACTTGGAGATAATCCTGATGTTCACACACAAAAAACGTATACATATACGATGGGCTTGCCCCCATGCGTATCTGCTGACAAAATCATACGATGGGCTAGCCCCCATGCGCATCTGCATCTAAATCACGAGTGGTCTCCACCCCAGTATGATCTGCTCATTACTCACTAAATCATTGACCCGTCAAAATGGGTCACTGGTTGTATACTCTCAAAACTTATACAATACAAAAATACTGTTCTCTAAACGAAACAAACAATGATAAATACTGATAATAATATCCTAATTACAACAAACAATAATAATAACAACAATTATTATTTAAATACATTTGTTTTACTTATTAACTTATTTTGCAGCATGGGTCGGCAACACTCGCCCAGCAAAAAAAAAAAAAAAAAAGACAATTATAAGTCTCCTTCTAATTTGACCAACTTATTAACTGGCCTATCGTATTTACCACTACGTGTGCGTGCGGTGGCACATCTCACTAGACCGTCGCGACCGATTTTGGTTGATTCCACGATAGCTAAGGGCCAATAATCATGCGGCATGTCTTGATCGACCATAAGAACTAGATCGCCGTTCTGGTGGTAAATCAGCCATTCTTTGGTCAATTGTAGGCGCATATAATCGCTTGCAAACTACACACATCCGTGCAACATGCTTTATCAAATTCCTCGCACCCACTATCCAATATTTCTTCCGAACTCGGCTCAATGTCCACTCACATTCCAAATGCACATCATTGTGACAATCCAGAATAATCAAACGGGACACAGGGTGATTCTTTGGTAAGATAGGAGGCTGAGTGCTTGTATGAATTTTTTTTTATTTACACATGTTATAAAACTAATAGTAGAGGAGAAGGCCTGTGAAATGTAACCTGTACACATTTTATTGCTCAATAAAGAATTATTATTACTACCATTATTATATTGTTAGTGTGCTCTGCATCGAGAGTCCCATTGCATACTTTTTTTACTCGTAAAAGCCACTTTTTATTTCTCGACATGCGAAATATGTTCATGCAAGTCTTATTTAGCGTGATCTGTGTAGCACGCCATTCCCGTGACTTGTAAAACGACTTTTTGTTCCTCTTCATTTATTTGCTGTGATTTAATGGTTTTATTTCCCGTGAATTGTGATCACTAACCCCCCTCACAAATGAAATTCTTGTGTGGTTAGGATTAGCTCTCAGCTTTCACATTAAAACCAAGTAACAGGGTATCAATTACATGTGCAAGTACTTAGTGAGGTGGAGGCATCATAAGCAATAAACCTGAGACACAAGGACACTTTGCAACTTAACTTTTTCAAGTTATCAATTTATTCTGTATAAATATCGTCCTACAAACGTCTTGACCTCCCCCATCCCCTAAATGCCATTGAATAGCAGGTTTACATATGAAGACTATACCTCAGATAATACCTATTTAGTCACACAAGTTTGTTAATAGAATTAAAAACGTACAGTTAACCTATGTTGGATAATATTTACAGTACAAAAACATGACATTTTAAAAACGTTGTCTTTCAAAACGTATAACCAACAATAGTCACTTTTTTCACCATTATCCCATGAAGTTGCAGGCAATATCTTATGTGGAGAAGAAGTCGCATTTTATCCTAAGAAGTCGATTTGTCAGTAAAATCAGGGCGTATATCCCATGAAGTGGTAATATACCATGATCTTAACATGCGTATAAAGCAGTTTGAATATATATATATATATATATATATATATATATATATATATATACTTTTAAAAGTCACATTTGACAGTGTGCAGGGTAAAAAAAAACTTGAGTCTTTATGCAAGATGATGTTGACTCACCGAAAATGCGTTGTAAATGTAATATGTACTTTTTCAGACATCCATTCCTGAAATGCTTCATTCGGGTGGTATGTGCTTGTTCGTTTTCAAAGCTCTTCCTGAAGTCCATACGCTGGACATCATGCCCTTATTCTACGCCACAGGACTTGTGCCCGCTTTGCTGTTGCTGATTCTTCACATCATATCCTACAGAAAGTCCCGTGGGATGGAGATTCGAGACGTTTTGCTTGACACATTGGTGGTATTGATTCAGTTAGGATGCGTAGTGTTCATTTGCATTCGCTGGAACTGGGATTCACAAAGCCTTCGCAACTTTGCGCCATCGAGTGTTTGGACTTTACCTGTCGCAATTCTGCTAATTTCGTTCGGTTGGTGGGAAAACTTCGTCAACACTAATGCAGATAATTACATTTCAATAACTATCAAGAACTTTAAAACAGAAATGAGAAGACACAGGTCACTGATTTATTCTTACGTTATGTTTCTTAAGATGATTGCTACATTATGCTTCACTTTGGGCATATTGTACTGGAACGGATTTTCCTTAGAAGACATTCAGAGATTTTTTACCTCAGATCAATCCGTTCATGAAATAGAGAGAGTGGCCTTAATAAGCGTTGGTTGTATTCTAGGTTTTGCTGCCTTGCTGTCTTATTTATCCATATTCTTAACGTGCACCATGGGAATTCCTAAGTTTGGCTACGCCTGCGTTTTAATATCCATGGTTATGTCCCCTGTAGTTGTATTCATGCCTCTGTGCAGTGACAAGACAGTGGATTTTATTGAAAAATACACCCCTGGTCAGACATTAGAGGGAGTCCTACGCAAATGGTTGGTAGGCAGCCTATCGCCCAATTGTGATCCGAACAATCCCGAGCACCTTTGGGCTCAGGTTGGACTGTATATCGCCCTTCTCCTTTCTCATCTTTTTCTAAATAGACATGTGTGGAATTCTCTTGGAAAAACTGCCATACCCTCCTTGAAATGGATATTCATCCAGCCTCTGTACTGCGGTATTCTCCTAGAGCAGTCATTCATGTTTCGCAGACGACTGCCAGAAGATGTTGATGTTGATGGGAACGATGTGGATGCTGTCGAGGATGTTGCACACATCCCTCCTAAGGAAGATTCAGGAAAAAGTATATCAAAGAAACCAATGGTATACGCTTGTGGTACCATGTGGCATGAATCCGAGACTGAAATGAGACAAATGCTTGCCAGCATTATAAGGTAAGTAATTCTTTCAAATGTTTAGAAGCTTATTGAAACGTCTATATTTTATAATTCCTGCTTTATATACCATTATTAGTTTATTATTAGATAAAAAAGTTTGATTAATAGTTATTTGGGTTATCGCTCACATAACACGTAACGTATAGAAGCTTCAATATATCTGCCCCATTTACAGTAATTATTAAGCAAAGACGATTCAATAAAATATAAATCTATAAAATGGATTCCATGGCGTTAACATGGGATACTAACTGCATTTAGGTATATGGTACCAACTTGGCCCGACTCTGGGGCTAACTTGCCCCGTCAAGAAATTCTCTTCGGAGATTTGTCTGATTTTTGCTGTGATTACTGCCTTCAGTTCACCAAAAATTAGGGAAATCACCAAAGAGGAAAGTGTTGGAATAATTGACAATTTTGCGCAACGCCGCGGAGGCCATTTAGAGCATATTTTGGAAAGAACATGGCTTTTATGTCAAGCGACCAAAACAACTGTAACTTTGGGAAATGATCATACGCAGACTGAACTTTAAGTTCAGCAACTTTCTTGAAATTTGGTGGTCCTTTTTAAGATTTTATAAATTTTTAATGATTCTGTTTTTTTTTTTTCATCACCTCCGTAACTGCATTTTTAGACTTGATAGCGCTGTTGATCAGGGAGATTCGATCTTCGACTATGAAACACATATTATGTTCGACGATGCTTTCATGTATATGCACACGGACGAAGACAATGATGATCAACCTGGAACTTCCGTCGGAGACGCAAATAAAAAGGCCAGGCACGAAGAGAGGACTGTTAACAACTACGCAAGAAAATTTTTACAAATAATATTAGAGGATGTATCCGAGTAAGAAATTAAAGGCTGACTAAAAGAGTTCAACCAAACATCTAACGTTTCACCCCCCCCCCCCCCCACCACAAAAATCAATATATCAAAATCAATTACTCATCTATAAAGCGACAGGTGTTGGTCACGTGTTTTGTGAAGCGTGAGTTGCCAAAGTGGGCTAACCATCAGTTGAAGCACCATATTGAATTTTAGAAAGGTTTTTTAATTTTGCACAAAGGAACCCTCAGGTAAATGTTTTGAAAAAGATAACAAAGATGTACAAATGCCAGTCTGCTATTGAATTATATTATGTTAAAATGGGGTTGGTTTCCCGCTGCTATGACTACTGTTTGAGCACAAAAACAATTTTGGCACTGTAAACGATTTGATACTTAGTCTTAAAGGCCCAGAAAGTTTATGACATTTACGTAAAATTTAAACGGCTGTAGGACAATAAAAAGAATGAAAGAAGACATTTTAATTACATCCTTTATTACTTAGATCTCTTGCAGGTATCCAGCAATATTACTTTATGCACAGAGATTACATAGCAGGCATAACAGAACTGACGTTTGCTTTCTTTTGATAGCATGATATACCCCGGGATATTTTCCATCTCGTTTAATTTTTTTTGTTGTCTTTTAACGTCCATAAATATTATGAAAGCTTTGTCTCTGTGCTATGTTTTCTATTTCTTAAGGATTTCGTATAGTTATTTAATCTTATCTTTATGCACATATATACTCCCTTACAAAAAAATGCGTTTATGTACACTGCTACATAGATTTAATTTTAATACTATTACATACTATTACAATATGTTACAACTCAAGCCCTTAAAGTTGTGTTAGTTAAAGTTATCACAGTTATGTTGGTGCAATCGGGTGCAGAGATTTGTGAGATAAGGTAGAAAAGAATGGAAGATGGATGATGGATGAATTGCCCTTAGGAGTTAACACAACCACACATACGGCTACCCTCTACCAGGGCGACATCGATAACTTCAGACCAAAATGATCGTCTATTTATCTAGAGACATTTCTCTGAATATCTGTGGAAAATCGATGTCGCCCTGGTAGAGGGTAGCCTAATTACAGGTAAATGACGTAAGTTCAATCTGACATCTTAACGTGACCGCACTTATACATGGGACATTGGCAACTTACGCGCCACAGACCAGCTGACCAAATCTCGCTTTCTACACTACAAACATCCAATTTGTATATTTTGATATGTAGGTAGGTAATAAGGCAAGTTTCAAAAGAATATCAATCATTCAAGCCAATTTGCGTTCAACTCGGCACCCCTTAAAGCTCACCACCCAAAGAACCTCTCATATTATATATATATATGTTTAATTTGTTCGTGTATTTATAGACGAATGAGAAAATTGTTTGTGAGTTTATAGATTTTTTTTGCTTTTCATAGACAAGATGTTCATCATAAAGTCGTGGAAATTATGAAGAGAATGAATAACTCTACGCCCAAAACAAATTCTGCGACACCGAAAAACAGCTCTCCGGAGACACGAACGCCTGAATCTGTACATGTATCGGGGGAAAACGATGCCCCATCAACTTCCTATGAAGTTACGGTGATGCCGTATGGTGGGAGAATTAAAATAAAAATGAAAGAAACATTCTTGTATGTCCATTTAAAGGACAGAAAGGCAATTCGAGACAAAAAAAGATGGAGCCAGGTAAAATATTTTCACAAGAGGATTTTGCGTTCTTTTCTGTAGAATACACAAAATTAAAAGTATGTTGCTGAAATAAAACACATGTTTATGAACTTCTGTGTAATGTGAACGTGAAAAGGAATGAAAATAAAACAAACAAATAAACAAAAAAAATGGATTGTGTTGAAATAGAACTTTATGTTCCCAAATAAATTGTGTCACAGCGAGAAAAACGTACGTGAATTAGCTAAGATTGACATTGGTGCAGCAATCTTTTCAGGTGATGTACATGTACTATCTCCTGCAGTATAACACAAACCCTGAAAATCCATCAAAAAAACACGATGAAAATGACTTGGACAACGTGTATTTGCTGGCTATGGACGGAGATGTTGATTTTCATGCAGATGCCTTGACCAGCTTGGTGAAAGAGATGGCGTCAGACAAGAAACTGGGAGCTGCCTGTGGACGAATCCATCCAATCGGCAGCGGTAAAAAGCATGTTAATCTTGTTTTTCAAATACTTAAAATGTAAACATTTCTGTAAGTATGATTATATACAGTCACACAGACTGGCATGGCATTTTTTTTAATTTGAGATTTCAATATTTTCGATGTGCCAAAACCAAGAAAGGTAGAGTCATGGCATTTTCAACAATTATTAAAACCATCGTTTTCTAAAAATTTCCCAAATTTAATCAAGTTTTAAAACTGTTGAATTGACCTAAAGAATAGATCCGATTGCTGTGCTTGTATGAACTAACATTTGCTTTATTGTAGGACCTATGGTCTGGTACCAGAAATTCGAGTACGCCATTGGCCACTGGTTACAGAAGAGCGCGGAACATGTTCTTGGATGCGTTCTGTGCAGTCCTGGCTGCTTTAGTTTGTTTCGCGGAAAGGCAGTGAAGGAAGTGCTAGACATTTACTCCGATCGACCAAAAAAAGCAATCGACTATCTACAGTTTGATCAAGGTATTTATAGAATTTAATTTCTTCATAACAATTCATAATATTTATTTACCCAGTCAATCAATCTATCTATTTATAAATCTATATATTTGTATATTTCAAAAATGTACAATTAACTTTTTAATTTATTATATTTTTATATTATTGTGCAATTACTTATTTACCACTTCAAAGGTCGTTGTTGTGGAACATAGTATAGTGAAATAAATATTTAAAGTAAATGACTTTGAAATTTTAAGAGATGATAGGAATGCAAAATTTGCAACAAGCGCAGCATATTATGTATTCTGAACTGTAAGCAAATAAACAAAAAGTTATTTCTTTTATTCCAAAGGAGAAGATCGTTGGTTGTGTACCCTGTTGCTTCAAAACGGCCGGAGCATCAAATATTGTGCCGCCGCTGACGCAAAGACGTATGCTCCAGAAACATTTTCCGAGTTCTACAACCAACGGCGTCGGTGGAGTGTGTCAACCGTTGCCAACTTGTACGACTTGATATCTAACGGCTGGGAAACCTCCACCATAAACGATAACATATCGTTTGGTTTTATCGTGTACCAAGCTCTTCTGCTGGTATCATCTTTGCTTGGTCCTGCCACAGTTCTAATGGCCATAACAACGTCCATTACGACCCTGTTTATAGCAGACCTGAGCAATAACATAACAGGTTCACTTATTGCCAACGGAATTATCATCCTCCCAATTGTATTTTACGTCTGGATTGCATTCACGCAAACCAAAAGTGTTCAGCTAAAATCAGCAGCCATTCTAAGTGGTATTTATGCGCTACTTATGGTATCCACGCTCGTTGGTATAATGGTTGAAGTAGGTACAAACCATGCGAGTATGCCATCCATTATCTTTATGATCCTTGTAGCTGTTTTCTTTTCAACAGCACTTGTACATCCAAAGGAGTTCTACTGTGTGTTTTACGGACTGTTGTATTTCATAGCTGTTCCATCTATGTACGTATTCTTAACAATTTATTCACTTTCTAATATCAACGACGTGTCATGGGGAACAAGAGAAACCCGAAAGACTGTCCTTGACAGCGAAAAAGACGGTTTGCCTAGGAAAATTAGTAAAGGCAGTGAAGATGATTTTAATTGTGATTCCTTTTTTAGCTGTGTATGTCGTTGTAGAAGAGACGAGGAAAGCCAAACGGCAAACAATCTCTTCAGTCTAACTTCAAAGGTGCCTGCCAAAGCTGACAAAGGTTCAAGTTTGCAGCCACGCAGAGGACAAAAATTGCGCAGTAAGTGTATATTTGAGGCAAATTTTAGTTATACATCAACAGTTTTCCCTACCCCAATTTCATGTGCTTTTATCTACAAATGATCACCCCACAGGTGTAAATTGTTATTAATAGTGCTTTTATTCCAGATACCATATCAGACATGATTAATGGTTTAGCATATACAAAATAGTGGCGAAGATATCCGTATTCTATGCCATTTATTCAAAATTTTAACATGAAACCCCTGAAATCCAATGTTTCCATATGGTTTCCACAGAGGTACATAAATGTCTATTATATTGAAATGACACCACCAAATGTCACCAAATTTACACACAATTAGCATACGGATTCGTTCGTCAAAGGTTACGTGCATAATAGCGTACGTGTCTACTGCCCACTGCAATTATCTCCTATATTCGGCGTGGTAAGCCTTCAGCAAGGGTAAGAATTCTGTTTTATGTGCTTTTGGTCCATTCTTTCTAAACAGCTTTGCGGAGTTGGTCCAGTTTATAAGGGGGTTGGTTCTCCTCTGCATTACACACCTTAATTCATGTCACAGTCATGTCATATCAGGGTTAAAGATGGTTGTTCCCTCCACAGAAATCGCCCGCTATAGNTTTTTTTTGCTTTTCATAGACAAGATGTTCATCATAAAGTCGTGGAAATTATGAAGAGAATGAATAACTCTACGCCCAAAACAAATTCTGCGACACCGAAAAACAGCTCTCCGGAGACACGAACGCCTGAATCTGTACATGTATCGGGGGAAAACGATGCCCCATCAACTTCCTATGAAGTTACGGTGATGCCGTATGGTGGGAGAATTAAAATAAAAATGAAAGAAACTTTCTTGTATGTCCATTTAAAGGACAGAAAGGCAATTCGAGACAAAAAAAGATGGAGCCAGGTAAAATATTTTCACAAGAGGATTTTGCGTTCTTTTCTGTAGAATACACAAAATTAAAAGTATGTTGCTGAAATAAAACACGTGTTTATGAACTTCTGTGTAATGTGAACGTGAAAAGGAATGAAAATAAAACAAACAAATAAACAAAAAAATGGATTGTGTTGAAATAGTTCTAGAATTTTATGTTCCCAAATAAATTTTGTCACAGCGAGAAAAACGTACGTGAATTAGCTAAGATTGACATTGGTGCAGCAATCTTTTCAGGTGATGTACATGTACTATCTCCTGCAGTATAACACAAACCCTGAAAATCCATCAAAAAAACACGATGAAAATGACTTGGACAACGTGTATTTGCTGGCTATGGACGGAGATGTTGATTTTCATGCAGATGCCTTGACCAGCTTGGTGAAAGAGATGGCGTCAGACAAGAAACTGGGAGCTGCCTGTGGACGAATCCATCCAATCGGCACCGGTAAAAAGCATGTTAATCTTGTTTTTCAAATACTTAAAATGTAAACATTTCTGTAAGTATGATTATATACAGTCACACAGACTGGCATGGCATTTTTTTAATTTGAGATTTCAATATTTTCGATGTGCCAAAACCAAGAAAGGTAGAGTCATGGCATTTTCAACAATTATTAAAACCATCGTTTTCCAAAAATTTCCCAAACTTAATCAAGTTTTAAAACTGTTGAAGTTATGGGACTTTGGAATTAGTAACAATTCTTTTGAGACAACTGATATATGTTTTTCCTCCTCCAATCAAACATGTCTGGAAAAAAAGACGATGATTTTAGATAAGAAGGTTGAATTGACCTAAAGAATAGATCCGATTGCTGTGCTTGTATGAACTAACATTTGCTTTATTGTAGGACCTATGGTCTGGTACCAGAAATTCGAGTACGCCATTGGCCACTGGTTACAGAAGAGCGCGGAACATGTTCTTGGATGCGTTCTGTGCAGTCCTGGCTGCTTTAGTTTGTTTCGCGGAAAGGCAGTGAAGGAAGTATTAGACATTTACTCCGATCGACCCAAAAAAGCAATCGACTATCTACAGTTTGATCAAGGTATTTATAGAATTTAATTTCTTCATAACAATTCATAATATTTATTTACCCAGTCAATCAATCTATCTATTTATAAATCTATATATTTGTATATTTCAAAAATGTACAATTAACTTTTTAATTTATTATATTTTTATATTATTGTGCAATTACTTATTTACCACTTCAAAGGTCGTTGTTGTGGAACATAGTATAGTGAAAAAAATATTTAAAGTAAATGACTTTGAAGTTTTAAGAGATGATAGGAATGAAATTCAGGGTTTAGTAAACAAGCGCAGCATATTATGTATTCTGAACTGTAAGCAAATAAACAAAAAGTTATTTTTTTTTATTCCAAAGGAGAAGATCGTTGGTTGTGTACCCTGTTGCTTCAAAACGGCCGGAGCATCAAATATTGTGCCGCCGCTGACGCAAAGACGTATGCTCCAGAAACATTTTCCGAGTTCTACAACCAACGGCGTCGGTGGAGTGTGTCAACCGTTGCCAACTTGTACGACTTGATATCTAACGGCTGGGAAACCTCCACCATAAACGATAACATATCGTTTGGTTTTATCGTGTACCAAGCTCTTCTGCTGGTATCATCTTTGCTTGGTCCTGCAACAGTTCTAATGGCCATAACAACGTCCATTACGACCCTGTTTATAGCAGACCTGAGCAATAACATAACAGGTTCACTTATTGCCAACGGAATTATCATCCTCCCAATTATATTTTACGTCTGGATTTCATTCACGCAAACCAAAAGTGTTCAGCTAAAATCAGCAGCCATTCTAAGTGGTATTTATGCGCTACTTATGGTATCCACGCTCGTTGGTATAATGGTTGAAGTAGGTACAAACCATGCGAGTATGCCATCCATTATCTTTATGATCCTTGTAGCTGTTTTCTTTTCAACAGCACTTGTACACCCAAAGGAGTTCTACTGTGTGTTTTACGGACTGTTGTATTTCATAGCTGTTCCATCTATGTACGTATTCTTAACAATTTATTCACTTTCTAATATCAACGACGTGTCATGGGGAACAAGAGAAACCCGAAAGACTGTCCTTGACAGCGAAAAAGACGGTTTGCCTAGGAAAATTAGTAAAGGCAGTGAAGATGATTTTAATTGTGATTCCTTTTTTAGCTGTGTATGTCGTTGTAGAAGAGACGAGGAAAGCCAAACGGCAAACAATCTCTTCAGTCTAACTTCACAGGTGCCTGCCAAAGCTGACAAAGGTTCAAGTTTGCAGCCACGCACAGGACAAAAATTTTGCAGTAAGTGTGAATAGACACTTCTATATTTGAGGCAAATTTTAGTTAAACATCAATAGTTTTCCCTACCCCAATTTCATGTGCTTTTATCTACAAATGATCACCCCACAAGTGTAAATTGTTATTAATAGTGCTTTTATTCCAGATACCATATCAGACATGATTAATGGTTTAGCATATACAAAATAGTGGCGAAGATATCCGTATTCTATGCCATTTATTCAAAATTTGAACATGAAACCCCTGAAATTCAATGTTTCCATATGGTTTCCACAGAGGTACATAAATGTCTATTATATTGAAATGACACCACCAAATGTCACCAAATTTACACACAATTAGCATACGGATTCGTTCGTCAAAGGTTACGTGCCTAATAGCGTACGTGTCTACTGCCCACTGCAATTATCTCCTATATTCGGCGTGGTAAGCCTTCAGCAAGGGTAAGAATTCTGTTTTGTGTGCTTTTGGTCCATTCTTTCTAAACAGCTTTGCGGAGTTGGTCCAGTTTATAAGGGGGTTGGTTCTCCTCTGCATTACACACCTTAATTCATGTCACAGGTGTTCAGCAGTGCGAATATCAGGGTTAAAGATGGTTGTTCCCTCCACAGAAATCGCCCGCTAGACGAGAACTGTGAGCAAGTATGCTGTCATGATGAAACCAGGAGTTAACCCCGAAGTCAGCTCTTGCAGATAAGTGAGATATCAGCTGGGTTGGTGAAGGAAAATATCGCATGAGTGTCAGATCAGTCCGCATTTGGAGAGCATTCCAAGACCATGGTTTTAGTACATTGTTCCCTCTGGAACAGAACGCTACGGGGACATGTTACTGTAACATTCTCAACAGATATTTCACCCTATTTGCAAGAGGTGACTATAGGAATGCTACTGGCTGCATCGTGTCAACGCACTTGCCCACTGCTTTCATCTGAGGAGTGATTTATTGCAGAAGCGGAATGTTCTGAGAATGGGACAGCCATCTGTGAACCCTAATATTAACCCTACTGAGCACCTGTGGCTTGGATTAGAATGTGAAATGCAGAGGAGTACCAATCCCTAAATAATTAAGACCAAACCCGCCAAGCTTCTGTAACAGACGGACTCTCTGGTTGTGTAAAATGACTTTATTGCTATAATTAAAATTTTCACCCTGTAATAAAGGTGACATATAATTAATAAAATGACATACAACAAATAACTTATAATTCTATAGTTTACCTCTATGATAAGGAAATAATAAATTTGATATAGATAACTACGGTTTATAAAGGCTATAACGGCTTACCCTGATCTTATTCAAGGGCGTTTAGAAAGAGTGCTGGATATACCAATACGGCTTGGTCTGAAAACTAAAGAGTAGAAAACGATGTAATACAGTATAGCATAGTGGAGTTGGATACGCAAAAGACAAGATAAAATATAACTAGAATTAACTAGATGACATCCAACTTACCACATAGAAACAGACAGACGAACAGCAACTTCAGCACTATTTGAAAATACGGCGCCAATGCCTTTTATAATGTGAAGTCACATGACAAAGACGCGGGAAGACAGAACAAAGGGACATATATAGACAAAGGAACAGACAAAGGAACAATTAGAGGGCGTCAGAGTCACATCAAGTCACAAGACAAGACAAGTGACGAGTCCATAGTTACACTTCTTAGAAAGAATGGGTAAACATCAAACAAAACAGACTTGTCACCATTCTTAAAGGCTTGTCACGCCGCCTGCTCAGTATTACACTATTAGGCACGTGACCTTTAACGAACGCATCCTAATGCTAATTCTGTGTAAATTTGGTGATGTCCTTTCAATTTCATGGACAATTCATTACCTCTGTTGAAATCTCAGTGAAACAATGTATTTGACGGGGTTCATGGTTTAAATGTCGTAGGCCTCTTGTGGATGTCTAGCTGTAAATTCTTATTTGACTAGTTAAGTGGTACAGGTGAAATCTGAACTCAATAAAGAAAGCCATGCGGTTTCAGTGTTCTACCCAGAAACGGTCATGGTCCCCAATTCATTAGAGAAACAGACGACGATGTTTTACTGTTTATAGTGGGTTCCTCAGAGGTCGTCTGGTATTCTAATCTGCTGATACCAGTTTGGTGTTTGCTAAGGACCTTGAAAAACGCGTTTTGGTTGCAATTTATCCCTCATTTTGAACGGACTGGATGTTTTTGTTTAGTTGCAGCAGCATTTCCCGAAAAACAGTGGGTCTTGTACCCTGGTGGTAAGATTTTGATACACTGGGTATGGCCTCTGTGCAGGTACATCAGTGCAATGTTTATATTTTTCACGCCATTCTGCCGCAAATTTGTCAAGAATTGCTTAGCTCATTTTACGCACTGCAAAAGCAACCGCTTGCATGCAAAATTTCAAATTCTTCTTAGCCGTAGTTACCGACAAATGGATACTTTTTGACAGAACCATGCTTTGCCTAAGCCAAGCTTAGACCAGCCCAAAGGAGCACTACCCAATTTAATTACTGTATATTACATAACGCAGCAGCGCAACAGACATGGTAGACAGTAATTTGGTAGCGACATAGCTGACTACACACTTCCCTATTCACATATCTTATCTGGAGAAAGAAACGCATTTTTACCTCGGCATACCTTCGAAACTGAAATATTCTATATTAAATGGTAAGTCTATATATACGGACTTCTTCACCTAAATATTATGCATAATATAATGGAAGGTATATACTGTTTTATTGTATTTTACAGGTGCTTTTGAGGCGATTACATTTATAAATAGGCTCAGCAAAACGACAGATAAAAAGACAATAAAATACACAAAAGAAGAAAAAAAAGCCCGTTACGAAGAGTCTTTTTGGGAGCACCTGATAGAATTCCGTCTTGAACCAATAGAGGAAAACGCCGATAAAGAAACACTGGAGAAAGACTTAAAAACACTTCGTAACAACTCCATGATATTTGTTCTCTTTTGCAACTCTGTCTGGATAGCTTTTACGATCCTCATCCAAAATCAATCCGACATATTTATTCGTTGGTATGACTACAACGGCTCCGAGCAAAAATCTGACATCTTAAGCCTTCTCTTTCTCAGTTTATTCATTTTGGTTACTCTCATTCAGTTTTTGTGTATGCTTTGGCATCGGTTTTGGACTCTTATTCTCTACATATCTACAGCTGTGTCTTCACTGAAGTTTTGCAAAAACAGAGTTCACCCTTCGAATCGTGTTAAAAAAGGTTCAGGAAAAAACGTAATACCTAAACCTGGAGTTGATAACGTGCCAACGTCTCAACAGTATATTGATGTTCAACAAACTTCCTGCAGCACAGCAACTGGGACTAAGGAAGTGACCCATGTCAGTAAGGTGGACGTTGCTGTTAATACTAGTCCAGAGGGTTATTATTTGGACATATCTTGTTTGCCGAACAAGAATCAGATGCATTCAGCAACTTGTGATCAACTCTCTGAACAAGACAGCAGAAGAGGACAACCTGGCAACCTTTCCCAAGACTCAATGTCACAAAATGTTGACTGCGCCAAAAACTTAAATCCTCCCAAAAAAAGTCAGTCTCTCCCAAATATATGGGTGTACAATTCTTTCGATGCTGACCAAGCAGAACAAGACTGTACAAGGCGCAGCACGAGACTGTACTCTAGAATCCTATCTCGAAGTGGTGTCCGTAAAGCCGCACAACACGGCATCACATCGATATCCTCCATACACACCAACATCTAAACAGACAGGTAGTATGTCG